GATCTGGATACATCTGCAACATCACCATCATCATCACCAACAACAACAACATCATCATCACAATCATTATCATCATAATCATCATCATCATCAACAACAACAAAAACATCATCATCATCATCAACAACAGCAGCATCACCATCATCGTCATCAATAATATTATTGCTTCAATAGTTAATACTTCTAGTACTACAACATTTACAACCACTACTAATACTACTACTGCTACTAAAACAACTACTGCTATCACTATTACTACTAATACTACTACTATTACTACCACTACTACTACTACTACTACTACTACTACTACTACTACAACTACTACCACTACTACTACTACTACTACTACTGCTACAACTTTTTCAACAACTACTACTACTATTACTAACACGTTTCCATAATTGGAAAAACCTCCGTCATCATCATCATCATCATCAGCGTAGTTGTCATCTTCAACGTCATAAGCAGGTGTTGTCGCGTTGGCACCTTCATAAATGTAGTTGGCACAGTGGAAGTCGTAGTAGTAGTAGTAGTTTAGTAGTAGTTTAGTAGTAGTAGTAGTAATAGTAGTAGTACTAGTAGTAGTAGTAGTAGTAGTAGTAGTAGTAGTAGTAGTAGTAAAAGTAGTAGTAGTAGTAGTTGTAGTAGTAGTAGTAGTAGTAGAAGTAGAAGTAGTAGTAGCAGCAGTTGCTGTTGTTGTAAAAAAGTTAAAGTAGTAGTAGTAGTAGTTGTTGTTGTTGTTGTTGTAGTAATTGTAATTATGGTAGTAGTAGTAATAAAAGTGGTTATAGTTATGACAGTTGTATTAGGAGTGGTTTTTGGTTTCCTTTATTAAGTTACAATTCAATACAAATTTTTCAATTACGTGTAAGCACATGCATGTATTAATTAAATATCTGATAAACTCGAACGAGTTCAAGAAAATATGTATTCATATCGATTAAAACCTACACGATACATATGAAAAGTTGAGCAAGATATTACCGAACACAAAACCGACAAAACCGACATGAAATACCGACCTCCGTACTTTAAATCCTGATTATTAATTCTTGATTGAATGACACTATTACCAGTTGAAGCAGCTGTCGTAGCTGCATTAGCTGCTGAAAAAGCTGCGTACCGTCTCGTTTGTTTGACAAACTTCATCATCTTGCCTATCGTTCTGACTGACTTGAAACTGGAATTATGCAACGGTGTGAAGAAACTTTTATTAAAATCATTAAATATAATATTGATAATAGTTGTAGTAGCGTTGGTAGTAGTAGTCGTGGTAGTAGAAAAAGTATTAGTATATTATTATTATTATTATTATTATTTTTATTATTATTATTAGTAGTAGTAATTGTAGAATTAGTGGTAGTAGTAGTCTTAGTAGTAGTAGTAGTAGTAGTAGTAGTAATAGTAGTAGTAATAATTGTAGTAGTAGTAGTAGTAGTAGTAGAAGTAGTAGTAGCAGTAGTAGTAGTAGTAGTTGTTGCTGTTGTAATACTATTAGTAATTGTAGTAGTAGTGGTAGTAGTAGCTGTAGGAGTAGTAATAGTAGTAATTCTAGTAGAAATATTATTATGGACTGTTAGTATTAGTATAGAAGTAGTTGTAGTAGTATTATTAGTAGTAGCAACAGAAATAAGTAGTTTTTTTATCGTGTTCAGCGGCCGCAGTTACTAGTTGCAGTAGAAGTAATGATGGTATCAGTAGTACTTCTGTGGCAATAAAATTAGTTTCGTCGGTGCAATACCCATGTTCATTTATTGTTCCTTGCTCTAGCGATAAAATAACATCAGCTTTTTTTATGTCTTCGCTATCGCCTCGCATCTCTGGGTCTTTGCTTGCACCAATGCCTCTTTTATTCATGGTTATGGGAAATTGTCTTCATTTTTTGTTTTTTATTTTTTTATTTATTCTTTGCTGCTTTTTTACGTTAATATTGTGAAAGTGAAGCTAAGTAGAAAGCTATGTAGAAAGCTTAGTTGAAAAGCTAAATAAGGAAAGCTAAGTAGGAAAGCTAGGTAGGTAAGCTAAATAAGGAAAGCTAAGTAGGAAAGCTAGGTAGGTAAGCTAAATAAAAAAGCTAAATGGGAAAGCTATGTTGGAAAGCTAGGCATTTTTTTTACCAAACATGGAGTAACAACATTTTGGGCGGTGAGATGGGCCAGTGCTCAAAGAGGCCTGGTCCGACAGGGTTCGAATGCAGAGACATCTTTTCCTATTCTCCTAACATACACAACATGTGTCGTGCCTGTTCCCGTACCCTGTGTTTGGAAAAGTGAACCTTGGTATTGACGCATTTCGTAAATACAGAGGTATATAAGCACCGGCGTTAAAAAACACTAACTTCGTCGTCAACCAGAGCTTCTTGAAGAGTTAATATTACAATAAATTTCGTTAAGCATTCTGTATATTTTGTTTGTTACTCGAAACTGTTAAATAAAATATTCATAAACTGTTCTCCTTTTGCACTTGTTTAGTCATTAAATTTGTGAAATCTTAGATATTAAAGACTAACCCCGACAAATTGGGTCCAAATGAATGAATGAACGGATGGATGAATGAATGGATGAATGAATGATGAATGAATGAATAATCTCAATCAAAATAATGTTTGTTAATAAAAGAAAAATTTTTAACGACAACATTAATATTTGAAACGTTTCATTCAACATTTACAATCATATTTTTCGTCATACTACCTTCTGTACTACCTACCCTTTATTTGTTACACTGTGATTCATCAGTGGTTTTTAATGAAATATAAACAACTTCAAATATTATTTAGTATCATTGTTTATTGATTGAATGATATGAACCGGGGTAAAGCAATAGTTAGTAATTCAATTCAATTTAATATATTCATTTGATCCAAATAAAACAGAAAAAAATTTGTGATCAGGAGACCCGGAAAAAGAAAATAATTTCTTGTAGTTGACCACCCTGGACAAGATTGTCATGATCATAAGGATAACGAAAAATAAAAATGAATAAATTATCCAGGACATACTAACATTAAATAAAATAAAGGTTTTATTACCCACAAGTGATTGGTAACTTAATTAAATTGTATTACATGTTTGTATTAATAAACTTAACTGTCAATTAAAGTTATAATGATGTAGTAGGCACATACATACATGCTCTTACACGCAAACAATACACACACACTCACCAAACACCTATACATATATGCCGGCATCTGCACGCACACACACACACACACACACACACACACACACACACATACATACAAATAGCAATGCAATATACAAGTGGCATAATAATAATTACAACTCATACCCTTATAAGTTACTTCCTTAGTGTTACTACTGGAATAATTTGTATGGTTTTGTATCAGCTCCATTTCTTAGTGTGCGTGTGTGCACATCGTCTCTAGTTTAAAAATTTCTTATTTATTAATATTATTTTTATTCTGAGTCTATTAAAAATAATTTATTTTATTGCCATCACGTGATAGAGCGCTCCCAAAAATATAGATAATGTTTAAACGTAGTGGATGTACTTTTTTTGAAATAAGCGCCACATAAACAAATTTTTTTTTATATTTGTTTTTTTTTTACATAGGAACTATTAAAAGAATGAAATCATTCGTAAATAAATAAAAATATTATTAAACGTTACTGTTATTATTATTGCGTGTGAACAGTTTTTTTAAACATACAGTTGTTCTTTATATAGATAATATAAATAATAATAATAATTATTATTATTATTATTATTATTATTACTATTATTATTATTACAAGTACAACAAAGATACTTACGCGGGATTAATCTGGCCTCTCCCCATTTGTAGTCTTTGGCTTCGTAATGACGGTACTTCCGGGTCGGAATAGGGATGTGCCGGGTGTTTTAACTTTTCCCTAGAGCCGGAAATTGGTGAGAGTAGCGCTTTAGTTTCGCTGTTGTTGTTCGTGACGTCATCGATTAACTGGATCACTCGGGGGTCGGGTGGGTTGTAGGTCAGTTCAAAAGTTATGTTGGCCTGGTTTAATCATTTGTAATCGTTGTTGTTGTCGTTATTATAGAGAAAATATAATAAAGATAATAATAATAATAATAATAAATACAACTGCAAATAATATTAGTGGTAATAGTAGCTATTAGAAGCATTAGTGTTAGTAGTAGTAGCAGTAGTAGTAGTAGTAGTAGTAGCAGTACTAGTAGTAGTAGTAGTAGAGGCATAGTAGTAGTGGTAATAGTAGTAGTAGTAGTAGTAGTAGTAGTAGTAGTAGTAGTAGTAGTAGTAGTAGTAGTAAAATTAGTAGTAGTAGTAGTAGTAGTAGTAGTTGTTGTTGTTTTAGTAGTAGTAGTAATAGTAGAAGTAGTTATAGTAGTAGTAGTAGTAGTAATAATCCTACAACAACGGGCGCATAGCATGTGTTGTTTTATTTTTCCAATTAATGTGGGATGTAATTAGTTGAGACAGGAACGTGACAAAGTGGATGAATGACTGAATGAACGAATGAACGAATTGACGAATGAACGAATTGATGAATGAATAAATGAATGAATGAATGAATGAGTGAATGAGTGAGTAAATGAGTGAATGAGTGAGTGAGTGAGTGAGTGAGTGAATGAGTGAGTGAGTGAGTGAGTGAGTGAGTGAGTGAGTGAGTGAGTGAGTGAGTGAGTGAGTGAGTGAGGGAAAGAGTGAGGGAGTTAGGGAGGGAGTGAGGGAGTGAGTGAGTGAGTGAGTGAGTGAGTGAATGAGTGAGTGAGTGAGTGAGTGAATGATTGAATAAGTGAATGAATGAATGAGTGAATGAATTCATTCATTCATTAATTAATTATTTAATTAATTAATTAAATAATTGATGTACACTTGATTGATTAACAATATAAAGAAATTAATCAAACAAATAAATAAATGGATTAATTATTTATTCAATGAAAAAAATGTTAATGAACAAAGCGAACGAGTTGATGAACGAAAATGTCTAAAAAGTGCATCTAAATAAGTTTTTTTGTCAATTTGGAAAAATGTTGTCATCATTGGGGGCCTGAAGCGCTTGCTTACGTGGAGAAACAACAACCAAAAAATTTAAATCACCAGATACCAACAAGACAAGTTATATACATCTCTGAAACCGATACACAACTGAAAATACACAAATTGCTTAATGATTAAATATGTTAATGACTAAATAAATAAATAATTATTTTAAAAAATTAATTATAACTTATTGAACAAATAAATGTAAGCAATAAAATAATATAAACAATTTATAGAAAAACCCATCGAAAACTACAACCAGCCAACCAAACAACCAACCATCCAACCAACCAACCAATCAATCAACCAACCAGTTAGCCAGCCAACCAACCAACCAACCAATCAATCAATTAACCAGTTAGCCAGCCAACCAACCAACCAACCAACAAACCAGCCAAACAAACGAGCCAAACAAACATACAAAAAACAAACATACAATCAAACAAATAAATTCTATTTAAAACAACCAAACAAACTTAATATCCATGATAACACACCGTGGAAAACACTAAACAACGCAACGTCCACATGTACACCAACCAGCACAAATACAGACACTAATACAGACACTCATACATACACACACTCGCATGCAGATAGACACCAGTATAAATGCATACAAAAAAAACACACAAACATTCACACACCACATACACACAAATCCAAACACGCAAATACACTGTTTCTATTTAAAATCACACACCAACACACACACACACAAACACACAACACAACACACACACAGACACACACACACGACCGGCCGGCTTAGATAACGTAGAAACTTTAAATTGATTTCATTTC